AAACGGATGAAACTGACTGGAAGAATGTGAAATGCTTGCGTAAAGTGACTCTTTGCCTATCTGCTTTTTTAGCGCAGTTGACGTTTTTTCATTAACTTCGCTGTTCTTTTCATTAGGCATATCGCTCGCTGGAGAACGGTGGCTGGCTGAAGTCAAGTAATTACATTGTTCCACGATGGAAGACTGCTCGTAAAGCATGGGATAAAGGTCACATGGCGCGCCTTTTCTCGTCACTAGGATTGTTTTATGTTTCTCCAGTGTGCAAACCGGAACTGAAGCACCTTGTGCATCTTATCAGATGCTGTCATGGAAAAGTTAGTCCAACCTTTTCAATATTTGCTTTTTTATGCCGATCAGTCGCTGTGGGAGTAATGAATTTGAACTAAAATGCATTTTAGGTGACCGAGTCACTGACTCGTGCAACAATATTAGTGGCGCCTGAATCCGAGTGGACCACGCTTATGTCTCGCAGGAGAAAGTCTAGCATACAGGCAACTTATATCACTGAACAACTGCTGCTCGGTTGGTGTCAATTGACATACTCTAGAAAAAATTTTGTTTCTATACGTTTTTTGCATCTATGCAATGCAAAATACATATTGTCGAGGGGTCGTCTCTGTGTGTATATATATGTGTGTGTGTGTGTGTGTGTGTGTGTGTTCAGCTGTGCCGATTTTTTATGCCCAAACCTACAAAAGCTACCGGTCTGAAACTATCTGTATTCAAATACGGGCCCCCATCTCTAAAGCGGGCACTCTTGCTCACATGGTTCCCACCTACAATTCAGTCAAAGTTTCCCGGGTAAGTTGCTAGTTTGGGAACCAGAAAAGTTGGAAAGCTGAAATTTTAAGAGGATGTTTTCTCACAATCGTGGCAGTCAGTCTCAGTTCTTTTAGCTGGAAGCATATATTATTACTTCTATTGCTTGCAGATTCAATATGTGAATGCAAGATTAATTTTCTGGCACAAAAGGCGGGCGGCGAGACGCATCGACTTCGCTTGGCCATTGATAGCAGTGATGGATGACTGTCGTGACCTATCAGATTCACTGCTTTAAATTACATCTTTTTATACCTCAGCTGTATTGTGCAGATACAAGCAAGGAGGAAGCAGCACTGCTAGCTCCCATATATCATTTTCCAAAAGGGTATTGCTGTTATCTGGCTTTTCAAAGCAACGCAGTTTTTGAGTGTAAAACAGGTGCTGTGTTGATTTTGAGCGCAGTTGCGATTAGGAA